TCTCGTATGCGTACCATTGTTGCGCCTTTCTGCCTCTGGTGGCAATGTCTGCACAGCGCAAGACCTCCCAGGTCCAGGAGGCGGTGCTCTTTCCCTCCGATGCGGAGTTCGATATGACATTGTGGAACAACAGCATGATGAACATTTGGCCACAAATGCGTGAGTGTAAAGCATTCATCTTGATTTCTTGCACATACTCTGTTTAGATAGTAAAAGTGAATCTATATTCTTTTATATTGGCATACACAATATTAGTTGTTTGACAGAGTATATTAGAGTTGTCAGGTAGTTGTAAGTTTACAAAGTAGATTTTTAGTGTATGTGCTATGCTATTGGATTTATTGTAATACAATCTTTTAATATTCATCTGTTAATGTGAGCATTAGTTTTGGTTAATAGTCTGTAAGGAATTTATAAGCGAGTCTCTATTCATTCAGATGTTAGCACTCGCTTCATATGTATTCATTCAAGCTAATCTTCGGTAGTTGTCTTACTCTGATTTAATCAAATGCCTTTTATGTAAGGTTAGCTTTTATGATATTTTGCATTAACTGAAACATCTGCTATTAATTTACGACAGAGAGCAAGCATAGCATAGCGAAAGCAGCAATCCCGCTCTCACAGCTCCGACTCCATCTGCTGCTCTTTACTCTATGTATTATTGCAATTTTACTTGCACTGTATTAACATTATCTGTTATTATTCATTATTTTAAACGTTATCAGAAATTATACACAGTTTCCTTACCAACTACTACTAGTATGCACCCTAACATCTACCGTTTCCCTCATCAGTTCGCAGGAATTTATTTTCCTAGATATAAGCATAGTAAATGTTCTTCTAGTCTGTCGACTAGACTTGCTGACTGTTTAGTTTTAGGATACTCAAATTCTTATTAAACAAATTAATTAGTTACGATTTTCCTGTAGAGATCAATTCCTTAGCTCATGCTTCAAAAGGTTTCCGTTTCAGTTAGACTATTTGCATTGCTTTAAAAATATAATTGCGAATTCTATTTAAATATTAAATTCTGTTGCTTAAATAGATTCTTAAAGCTATGAATATATCATAAAAGTATATAGAAATATCATTGGGTATTAGTTAGAAGACGGCTTAAAACTCATCAAGAGAAAAGATTATGCTATGAACAGAGTATGCCACAGTCGGTTACACCCGCTTGCCAGTTGCTTAGCTAAATGTGCTCTTCATCCCCAGACAATCTCAGCAAGCAGCTGGGCGCTGCCATGCACGACCTGTGGGACTCGCCGATGAACAACTACAACCTGAACGAGGACGCGCAGCAGGCGCCGACGGGCAGCCAGTTGGCCAACAGCTACATGGAGGAGTACTTCGAGGAGCACGATATGAGTGCGCCCGGCACTGGCTATGGACTAGGCACCGGACTGTTCAGTGGCATTACGGCCGATGACTTCCAGCCGGGCTCCGTGCAGTGTCTGCCCATGCCGGGGCCATTTCTGCCCTGCGCGGATCTCTTTGACTGGTGGACATTGCGCTGCGGCGTTTGGGTGGTCTTTCTTCTGGCGCTGCTCGGCAACGGCACCGTCGTCTTCGTGCTCATCTGCTCCAGATCGAAAATGGATGTACCGCGCTTTCTGGTCTGCAATCTGGCCGCTGCCGACTTCTTTATGGGCATCTATCTGGGCATTCTGGCCATTGTGGATGCAGCGACGTTGGGCGAGTTTCGCATGTTCGCAATACCCTGGCAAATGTCGCTGCTCTGTCAGTTTGCCGGGTTTCTGGCTGTGCTGAGCTCAGAGCTGTCTGTCTATACGCTGGCAGTGATCACGCTGGAGAGGAACTATGCGATTACCCATGCGATACATCTGAACAAGAGACTTTCGCTGCGCCAGGCGGGCTACATAATGAGCGTGGGCTGGATCTTTGCCTTCTGCATGGCGCTGCTGCCGCTGCTGGGCGTCTCCGATTATCGCAAGTTTGCCGTCTGCCTGCCCTTCGAGACGACGACGGGCGTGGCCAGTCTGACGTATGTGATTAGCCTGATGTTCATCAATGGCTGCGCCTTTCTCACCCTGATGGGCTGCTATCTGAAGATGTATTGGGCCATTCGCGGCAGCCAGGCCTGGAATACGAACGATTCGCGCATAGCGAAGCGCATGGCTCTGCTGGTCTTCACGGACTTCCTCTGCTGGTCGCCGATTGCATTCTTCTCGATAACGGCCATATTCGGACTGCAGCTCATCTCGCTGGAGCAGGCGAAGATCTTTACGGTGTTCGTGTTGCCGCTGAACAGCTGCTGCAACCCATTCCTCTATGCCATCATGACCAAGCAGTTCAAGAAGGACTGCGTGACGCTCTGCAAGCATTTTGAGGAGACGCGCGTCATAGGTGCCGCTGGCGGCGCAGCCGGTGTGGGTGGCGCTGGCGGTGCAGGTATCAGTGCCGCACGTGCTGCGCGAGGCAAACGTGGTGCTGGAGAGCTGCCGCCGCCTCTGCTGCCCGCTGCTGCTGGAGTCGCTCATCCGCCTGGTTGCCGGTGCTTGCGCATGCTGCCCAGCGAGATGCCCAACTGGCATAAGATGGAGCAGACGCCGACGCTGTGGCAGCGCTTGAAGCGCCTCTGCTGTGGCCAGCGGCAGCGACGCAAGCAGCGACGGCAGCCGCAGCAGCGACGTCAGAGGGCCTACACCGCCGCTGCGGCCAATCCGTATCAATATCAGTTTGCGGAGCTGCGACAGCAGCGCAAAAATCGCGCCAGCTCCATATCCAGCGAGAATTTCTGCAGCTCACGCAGCTCCAGCTGGCGACATGGCACCAACTCTTCGACGCCGGCGCCACAGTCCAATTGCAGCATGCCGCTAAAGCTGATGGAGCCGGGACAGGGGCATACGCACGGCAGGCGCCGGCACTCGGCTTGGCTGATCACACGGAAGACCTCACAGGACTCGAATTTGTCCAGTTCACGCAACGATTCATCGGCATCGGCCACAACGGCCAGCACCTCCACATTCCGTTTGTCGCGCTCGAGTGCCGGTAGCAGCACGCCGCTACCCTCAATAATAGGTGAGTGCGAGGGAGAAAGAGGAAAGCAGTGAGAGAAAAGATCGGAGCCAACTTGAGTTTTCTTGCTTCTTTCAGCTCACAATGGCAAACAGCAGCACGATACGCTGACTAAACCGCGCCTGGTGCGCCAGGAGGCGGTGCAGGAGGAGGAGGACTCATCGCCGCCACGCCTTGGTGTACGCTTTCTGCCCACCATACCCTCCGCCGCGGACAGTTCGGTCATCATGGAGGACGGCGATTCGGCCAGTGCGGCAGCTGGCAATGCCATATTGGGCATGCCGCAGCCAGGTGACTCGAGCGGATTTCTGCTAGCTCCGCCGGCCCAGCTGCAGCCAGAGAAGCCGCCGCCAGCACCCAATGATGCGCCGCCATGACGGATACCTGAATTCTGGGGCAGCTGGAGACGACGGCATGAGGAGACCTACCTGTAATCAGAAGGGGGAACAGAAAGCTCACTGTGTTCATAGATTGTATAGCGCGGGGACAACGGGACAGATATTTTGGGGGAATGGGGCATAGTGTAATAACGGAACATGGCCATGTGATGCCACCGAGAGCATCTGCTAACATTTATATAATTAATCTTAAGTAGTCAATTTCTTTGGGTTCGAGTCAAGGATTTCGTTTAAATACACACACGCATACACACTTACAAGTATTATGTACTACATATATGTATATGTAATTTATTAATTAGCTTAGTTCTCGGTTGGATAGGCTTGTTGAGCCCAGCATATTTAGTGTTTAGACTAGAATGGTAAATAGATGTCTATATTTCGATATGCGCGTAAAATATTTAGAAAATGCTAAGCATTTGTCGAGATTACTTGAAGAACTTACTTGCAGTTAGTTCTATATATACACATACACACACATATATATATGTTGAAATAAGAATGAAACCAAGCCATAATATACAATATTAAAGTTAATCTATTTACGATAATTGAGTACTATTTTTTATTGGCATGGTGAAAAGGGGAAATATTTAGAGCATGGAATCTTTACGCAGTTCATCTATTATTCAAATAAAAATATGACTTCATTTTTAATTTAATTTTTTTGCTATTATTTTATTTTTATTTTTTTATTTTTT